GGCCCGGGACTCCCTGGGTAAGAGCTAGGATGTGCAGGGGGGTGAGGGAGGAGCTGGGACCACCCTCAGGCTGACTCCAGGGTGGGAATGGGAACACCCACTTTGGGCCTATGGCCACCTCTCACCCCGTGTCCTCCCCCAGGAAACACAGTGCTGCACATCCTCACCCTCCAGCCCAACAAAACCTTCGCCTGCCAGATGTACAATCTGCTGCTGTCCTATGATGGACGTGGGAGCCACCTGCAGTCCCTGGACCTCATGCCCAATCACCAGGGCCTCACCCCCTTCAAGCTGGCCGGAGTGGAGGGCAACACTGTGGTGAGGGCAACTCCCCCCACCCCAGTGCGGCTTTCTAATGACCCTCATCCTACCCACTGGGATAAAATAGGTGTGAACATACCCTGGGAGAAAATACATGTGAGCATACATCCCTGACAGTTAGGTCGCATTCTTAGTTCAGATTGGGATTTCTCTCTCAGCCCCTAGCTCTCTTGTCCCCTCTTCCCTTTCTTGCCTACTTCTCTCTCCCAAGGTGTTCAGGACTTACAGAGTCTAGATCACATGCTGGGATTATCTGTAATGCCTAGGCCCACCTGCCCTTGCAGGTCCCAGCGCGTCCGCCCTTCCGCTTCTCATCTCCCCTCCCCAAGCCATACATGGAGTCATGGGGGAGGGAGAGGAACCTAGAAGGTCGGCATGAATGTGGGTTCTTCTGGCCTCCCAAGACTGTGGTCATTCCGTGAAGTGCAACCAGCCTCTCCAGTGGGGCTTTCCTCCTTGACATGCCTCCCAAGCACACTCGGTGACTGTCCCCTGTGCTTGCTGTTCCTAACTCCTCTCCACACTCCCTCAGATGTTCCAGCACCTGATGCAGAAGCGGAAGCACATCCAGTGGACTTACGGTCCACTGACCTCCACACTCTACGACCTCACGGAGATTGACTCCTCAGGGGATGAGCAGTCCCTGCTGGAGCTTATCGTCACCACCAAGAAGCGGGAGGTACGGGTCTGGGGCAAAGTGCGGTGGGGAGGGGTGGCAGGGCCCCTGAGCTGCCTGCTCAACTTGCTTTCTGCTGCAGGCTCGTCAGATCCTGGACCAGACGCCAGTGAAAGAGCTGGTGAGCCTCAAGTGGAAGAGGTATGGGCAGCCGTACTTCTGCGTGCTGGGTGCCATATACCTGCTGTACATCGTCTGCTTCACCATGTGCTGTGTCCACCGCCCCCTGAAGCCCAGGACCACTAACCACACCAGCCCCCGGGACAACAGCCTCTTACAGCAGAAGCTACTTCAGGTGACACCCCAGGAGGAACGGATCAGGGCAGGACTCGGTTCTCTGTTCTTTCTCAGACTGGTACCATCCTCCTGTCCTCACACCCTCATTTCTCCCCTCACATACAGGTTGAGCATCCTTAGTCCAAAACTCTGAATTCCAAAATGCTCCAAAATCCAAAACTTTTCAAGCACCAACATGAACCTCAAAGGAAATGTACACTGGAGGATTTCAGATTTCAGATTTCAGATTTTCAAGTCAGGGATGCTCCATTGGTTAAGTATCTGTAAATACTCCAAAATCTGAAAAAATCTGAAATCTGAAACACTACTGGTCTCAGGCATTTTGTATAAGGAGTACTCAACTTGTGCGCTCTTACTCAAAGCGCGGAGTTTGAGAATAGCTGAACCTAACAGGTTAAAAAGAATCTGGCCGGCGGGTGGCCCTAGGCACCAGACAGGCAGAGCAGATGCAGAGGTGCCCTGAGTGCCTTGACCACCCCCATCCCCCCTCAGGAAGCCTACGTGACCCCCAAGGATGACATCCGGCTGGTGGGGGAGGTGGTGACTGTCATTGGGGCTGTGATCATCCTGCTGGTAGAGGTGAGGTGTGGATGGGATCCAGGGTGAGGTCGTCTGCCCCAGGGATCCAGCCCGAGTTCTGGTCTTCACGTGCCTTTGTGTCTTTCTGATCTCTCTCCAGATTCCAGACGTCTTCAGGGTGGGGGTTGCTCGCTTCTTTGGACACACCATCCTTGGTGGGCCATTCCACGTCATCATGTGAGTCCTTCCTCACCCCCAACCCTTTCCCTCAGTAGGGCTCCACTTCTATTCCCTGGATTCCTGACCTCCAGAGAACCTCAACTGCAGAAGTCCCTATCTAGCGATGTGTGTGTGACCCTATGTACTGAAATTGTGAAGGCTGAATCTGAGACTGTGTGTACTGTCCCAGTCACACTCCTGTTGTTGGGTCCCCAGGACGATCCCAGCCTTCCTCTTACTCCCCCTGCCTTCTCTCCCCAGCATCACCTATGCCTTCATGGTGTTGGTGACCATGGTGATGCGGCTCACCAACACCAATGGGGAGGTGGTGCCCATGTCTTTTGCCCTGGTGCTGGGCTGGTGCAACGTCATGTACTTTGCCCGAGGATTCCAGATGCTGGGCCCCTTTACCATCATGATCCAGAAGGTTGGTGCCTCCCCTCAAGCCTCCTAAAGAAAGGTCCCAAAGCAGGGGTCAGCAGACATTTCCGTAAAGGGCCAAATGGTAAATATTTCAGGCTCTGCAACCACATATCGTCTTGTTGCATAATCTCCTTTTTAAAAATCCTTTAAAGGTATTAGCAAATCAAGCCAGGCAGATTCGGCCTAAAGGCCATAGTTTGCCCACCCCTTTCCTGGAGGGTGGAGCTGTCAGACTTGTCGGGGTTAGAGGGTGGATGGGCCGATTGCTTGGGATATTAGCAAATCAAGCCAGGCAGATTCGGCCTAAAGGCCATAGTTTGCCCACCCCTGTCCTGGAGGGTGGAGCTGTCAGACTTGTCGGGGTTAGAGGGTGGATGGGCCGATTGCTTGGGGGATGTGTGGAGATGTTCTCTCTGCCTTCTCCTCCCTTTAGATGATTTTTGGTGACCTGATGCGATTCTGCTGGCTGATGGCTGTGGTCATCCTGGGCTTTGCCTCAGGTAAATCATCTGTCCAGGATGGGGATCATGGAGGGGAGAGGCTGGAGGAAACTAGAGAGCACAGAATGCCTCTGACTAAACTTGGAGAAGGGAGGGAGGGAAGGCAGAGGTGACAGGAGGCCATACAATGTCTGAGGATGGGACATAACCCAGAGGTGAGAGAAAATCAGGACTGTTGGGGAGAGGTGGCTCTTGAGGTCAGGAGGATGAGCCTTGTAGAAAATAAGGGAACAAAAGAAGCCAAAGTGTGGAGCACTGGGGGTCTGGGATGGTGTTACTGGAGATGAAGGGGACAGGACTGAAATTGGCAGCCAAGAGCCTGCTGTGGGGAGTCATCGTCATCTGTACGGTTGCCATGGTAACTCTCCCCCCTTGGTTGGAGCAGCCTTCTATATCATCTTCCAGACAGAGGACCCTGAGGAGCTGGGCCACTTCTATGATTACCCCATGGCACTGTTTAGCACCTTTGAGCTGTTCCTCATGGTCATCGATGCCCCTGCCAACTACAGCGTGAATCTGCCCTTCATGTACAGCATCACCTATGCTGCCTTCGCCATCATCGCAGGGCTGCTCATGCTCAACCTCCTCATTGCCATGATGGGTGACACGCACTGGCGGGTGGCCCACGAGAGGGATGAGCTCTGGAGGGCCCAGGTGAGCCCCCTGGTGGCCGGGAGGGTTAGTGCATGTCACCTCCTTCCTGTCAAGGGACTGGCCACACCCAGAGAGAAGCAGAATATTTTGACCCTACACATGTTTGGACAGTTATTGAACAGTAAGAAAAATAATGCAAAATGTACCAAAGAATTGGATTAGCAATATGAGAAGACCTGAAAATAATGTCTCTCGGTTTTCTCAATAATTAAAACCTGTTTTTTTCTAGAATAGTTGACAAGAAATAAATCAAGAATAAAACTAACGGTGGCTAAAATTGCATCCAGTAAGATTTGTTCCCAGACAAAAACTGGAGTATCAAATTTTCTTGACAATATTTAAGTCTGAAAAATTTGACCCAGAAAAATTAGACGAGTTAAAAATAATGCCACAAAAACTTCCTGTAGTAACATAAGCTATCTTCAGTCAGATCACCACGATGGGGATAAAAGGCCATTAGATGAATCAGATCCTCATTAAAAAATATACTTAGAAAATAATTTATCTCAACAAAAAAATTGTCAGCAAAATAAAAATGGAAATTCCCCAATGGGAAAGCATTTAATTGTGCTGTATAGAAAACAGAGTGAAAAACTAAGCTGGCTGGATGAGATTTGCTCAGGAAAATATTTTCTCCATGAAAATGTACTGATATTAAGTTTCCAACTAGAATGTTTGTAAGTGGACTTTATGTGTGTAGGGCCAAAATGTCCTGAAGCCCTTAAGACCCCTTTCTATCCCTTTGCTCCCATCCCTCTTCTTGGAACAAGGTCTCTCAGTCCCAGCATCCTGCCCGGCTTCCCGATGGATGTCACCTCATTGGGCAGAGAATTGTGTGGCCCAAGTCCATCAACTCTCTCCTGCAGGAGAGGGTCAGCAAAGCTCACACCACTATCCCAGACAGGGGCTGTTTGTCACCTCTGGGACACCATGAGTTACCGAGCTCCCCCGCTGTTGCAACACTGTCCTCCCTCCGCCTGGTGTCTGCTCCTTCCACCCTTCTCCTCAGTCAGCATTTCTCATTTTTCAGTCAGCACCCAGCCTCTTCTCTGACTTCCCCTTCTGTCCCCACACACAGGTCGTGGCCACCACGGTGATGCTGGAGCGGAAGCTGCCCCGCTGCCTGTGGCCTCGCTCCGGGATCTGCGGGCGCGAGTATGGCCTGGGGGACCGCTGGTTCCTGCGGTGAGTGAAGATGCGGGGCTGGGCGTCCCCTGAGCAACCTCGTTTGCAGGGGTGTCCCTTTGCTCAGACAACCTCCTGCTCCCAGAGGCCCTATGGAAGCCTGTGCACTCCCTAGTCTCCATGCCCACTGACTGAGCTGCTGGGGAAGAGGACCCATTAGCTTGCACCTTCAAAGCACCTACAGAGCTGGTGGACCAGAGCCTGCTGCTTCCTGAGGCCTGGCTACCATGGGGCTGGGATGCCCTGTGCCCACACCAGTTGCAGAGAAGGGAAAGACCACTAATGGTGGGGATGGGGGATAGAGAGAGAATAGGAGTCAAGTGTTGGTCTTGGATCCACTCTTCAATTCCTGGCCATCTCTCAAGTCCTCCTGCCCCCACAGGGTGGAAGACAGGCAGGATCTCAACCGGCAGCGGATCCAGCGCTACGCACAAGCCTTCCACAACCCGAGCTCTGACTTAGACAAAGACTCATTGGAAAAACTGGAGCTGGGCTGCCCCTTTGGTGTCCACCAGTTCCTTCCTACACCCTCGGTTTCTCGAAGTACTTCCCGTAGCAGCACCAACTGGGAAAGGCTTCGGCAAGGGACCTTAAGGAGAGACCTTCGAGGGCTGATCAACAGGGGTCTGGAAGATGGGGAGGGCTGGGAATATCAGATCTGAGCACTTACGCTCGCTTGGGCATACAAGTTGCTCTCACTTTCCTGGGAGCATCAAAAACAAAACAAGACAAACCAAAAACAACAGAAACCTAGAAGTCTAACCTCCCAGGTCCAGGAGTGCACGCTGGGAATCACTGCTTCTGGTGGCCACTCCACCTCTAGCTCCAGGGCACATGAAAACTGATGCTGTGGGGCATGCCCCACCCCAAGCACAGGGCTGCAGCTCACATGGGGAGCCTGGCTGCTGCAATCCCTCACCCCCTCGTGAAAGTCCCACTGCATGTCTGAGCACTTTAAGGGCAGCCTTGCCTTCTCAGGTGCACAGTCTGCACCCCAGTGTCATAACAGGGAAAGGAGACCCCTTACTGGGATGCTCCAGACAGGTGTAGGGGGAGACGCTGGGCTTGCAGACAGGTGTGTGAAGGAGGGAGACAGGAACTGCTCTGGGGTGGGGTAAGGATGGGTTGGTTCTTGCCACCTTGAACCTCCCAATAAAGTTGTTTCCTGCTCCCTGCGCCGCTCCCCTTCTGCATCTGGCAGTACCACCTGCCCGCCCTGCCCCTCTGCTCCTCCTCAGAGGCCTCCCTAGCTCTTTCTTGCAGACTGAAGCCTCACCACACCCGAACTTGCCAGTTCCCTTCTTTCCCTTTAATGTGGGGAGGGGTGGAGGACTGGGGATTGCAGTGTCCAGATGGTTGGGCTTAGTGTGGTGGATGCCTCTCCCAGAAGCCGAGATGCAGCCCGGTCCACGCCTCACAGGTCCCTCCTCAGACCTGCATCCAGGGCTGAGCCATGGGCATCATCAGTTCACAGCGTCCTGCCCGGGCCTCAGACCTCCACTGAGCCCGGCTGCCTCAGGTGCTGCTGAAGGAGCTGGACGTTGTGGAGTAGTTTCTTCTGGTGGCCAGCCAGGGTGATGCCCAGGGCAGGCAGGTCTCTGGTGGGGAGGGAGTGGGTCAAATGTGGGCCACGAAGCTTCTCCAAGATCAAATCAAAGCTTTTCCAAGATCCCCGACACGACCCTTGGCTTGAGTCCCAGAGCATCCGTCCCCCATCCCACCTCTCCCTGCTTACTCCAGGCTGAGCTGAGCCACATCACTGAAGGTGCAGAGGCCAAACTTGGAGAAATTGTCCTGGTAGCACTCCAGTCCAATGGCCGAAAGCCAGGCCTGGGGTGAGTCCAGACAAGGGAAGTCCAGGGCTACCGGGTTCAGAAGGGCCTGGGAAGGTCTAAGGGGGAGGGACAAGCAGGTCAAGGTCTCCTCTTCATCTTAGCCCCCTCTCCTCAGTTTCCTTTTTGGTTTGCATCTACCCTCCCTGGATTCCCTGGGCTCCAGCCCCAAGCTCCAGACCTGTCCCCAGGGCTCCCCCCGGCCTGTAGGGTGTCTGGCTTGCGGATCATCTTGTCAAATGCAGCCACCAGCTGGTCAAAGTGAGGCCGCTGGGTACGGTCCTTCTGCCAAGTGTCCAGCATAAGCAGATGTAGTCCAGGAGGACAGCCTGGAGGTGGGGGCAGCCGGAACTCCTGCTGTATTGCATTCAGTACCTGAGGGTCAGAGGAAGAATATGATGATGGGAAGCAACTGCTAGTAGAGGGGGGTATATTGTTAGGTAAGAAGGTGGGCTGGAATCGGGCGGAGCATGAGGTTGGAGTGGGGAAAGAACTCGAAGGTATGGAATACTAGAGCCATGAGATATGAGACTGTGAATTAGAATGTGTGAGCCTGGGGAAGCTGTAGGTGGGGATCAGCGACACCCAGGTCAAGTGCTCACCTCCTGCTCGCTCATGTCCCAGTAGGGCCGTTCTCCATAACTCATCACTTCCCACATGACTATCCCAAAGCTCCAGACATCACTGGATGTTGTATGCTTCCCGTGTGCAATGACTTCTGGGGCTGCCCAGCGAAGCAAAGAACTTGGGCCCTGAGGGGTGGAGCCAAGAGCAACAATAGCCCTAATCCCAGTGATAGTCACACTGACTGCACAACTCTGTGCTCAGACGTGCGTTAAGGGATTCACATCAAGCACCTCACTTAATCCTCATAACAGCACTGTAGGGTGGATGATATTATCTCCATTTTACAGATGCAGAAGGTGAGGCATATGGAATATGAACTTGTCCTAGGTCACAAAGCTGGAGAGTGGTGTGTTCAGAATTTGTACCCAGCTGTGCTGACACCGGAGTCTGTGTAGCCTTCACATTAGGGGCAGGGCAGGAGGTGGTTCTAGAGTTCTGCTGGTCTGCTGCCCTCTCCAGTCCCCTTCCTTTGTCTTGGTCCCTGAAAGCCCTCAATTCCCCCTCATCCAAGATTCTATCTCCCCATCACAAAGGGGAGCCTCCATCGCTGCAGACACTATGATATCCCACCTGAGGTGCCCACCCCAGGTTCCAGCTCATCCTCCAGCAACTGCTGAAGGATGCTGAGCCCCAAGGCTGTGCTCTCACCTGAGGACTGTGGCCAAGACGGGCCACCTTGCACACCAGGTGGCTATTCACCAGCACACTGTGGGCAGAGAGCGCACGGTGCACAAAGGCAAAGCTGGCCAGGTACTGCATGGCAGCGGCCACTCCCCGCTGCATGGCCACCAGCTGCAGGCTGCTGAACTGGCCCTCCCGCTGCTGAGGGGCAAGGGACAGAGGTCAGCGGCAGGGTGAGGAACCTTCTCACATTGCACAGTGGACATTGATGTGGCAGGGGCGGGGAGGGGTGAGATTTGTGAATCAGAAAGTGGCTTAGGAAAGAAGGATGGACACTGTGGGGGTGGGGCGGAAGGGAACAAAGGTATAGGGCTCTGTCTCTTGGAAAAGCTGAGAAGCCCAAGCTTTCCTGGGCCCCAGGACCCTCCTCCTCCATCCCAGCTGGACTGACCCTGAGGAAGCTGTCCAGGGGACCGAGCTCCATGAACTCCGTCAGCACCATGAGTGGCCGGCTCTTGGTGACCACGCCCTCCAGCCTAAGGATGTTGGGGTGCTGGAACTGGCCCAGCACTGCAGCCCGGCCCAGGAAGGTCATCTGCAGGCTCTCAGTGCCCCCAGCCCACAGGGCCTGGATGGCCACAGTCTGCTCCCGCCGTCCTCGGGGCTGCAATCGGCCCCGGCGCACTTCTCCAAAGGAGCCTGGGAGAACAGGTGCAGGCTGGGGGTGGGGTCAAGGGAGAACCGATGGAGGGCTCCTGGTGGGTATCCTGCCATGTTTGGAAGGGATCCTGGGCAGGGGAGGCTCACAAGGGAGCCCCAGTCCACCCAGCCCCTCCTTGCCCGTGCAGTACCTGCCCCAATGACCTCTTCGATCTTGATATATGCAGGATCGACCTCCCGGGCAAGTTCTCGGATGGCCTGGCAGGGGTCCTCATATGTGGAGGGGTCGATGTAATACTTCACCCCCAGCCCTGTAGGGGTATGAGGAACAGGATGGGGTGTGGTGCCAGGTGGGGCTGCCCACACACCCTGGACACACCCGCTCACTTCCAAGGTGGTGCCAAGGAGCTCCCTCGACCTTGGAGAAGCCCAGCCTCACCTGCCCTGCGCCCACCGCCTCCCCACCCCCTACCTGGGCTGCTGTACTGCTGCAGTTGCTCCGTGTAGCCTGTCCCACGCCGCTTCCTGAAGGAAAAACCAGAGACCTGGAATGACATGCCCTTTGTTGCCCCCGCCCCGCTAGGGATCTGTGGAGGGAGGGGACGTCCGCTAGGTCCCTCCTTCCCTCCTCTGCCAGGACTCCGGGTGGGGCTGCCGAGTGAATTTTGCTGGGGCGGGGTGCAGCAGGCGCAGCAGGAAGGGGTTCTCACCGCTGGAAGACTACAGCCAGCACAGTGATGGCCGCCAGCAGGAGGAAGGCCAAGACCCCCAGGATGGAGCCGATCACCAAGGAGAGTCTCTCCGGAAGCTGGGAGGACAGCTCACCTGAGGGACCAGAGCCAGGTCAGGGTGGCCAGGCCTCCCATGTGCATTTGCACACCCCTCAAGCCCCCAGGCACCCCCACACCCCAACACCCCAAAAGCCGCTGAGGTCAGCTGCTCAGCTGCAAACACTCTCCTCCGTCTTCCTCTCCACACAGCCCCTGGTCTGGAGCATGCTGGGGCAGCGTTTGGCCGCCAGCAGGAGGAAGGCCAAGACCCCCAGGATGGAGCCGATCACCAAGGACAGTCTCTCCGGAAGCTGGGAGGACAGTTCACCTGAGGGACCAGAGCCAGGTCAGGGTGGCCAGGCCTCCCATGTGCATTTGCACACCCCTCAAGCCCCCAGGCACCCCCACACCCCAACACCCCAAAAGCCGCTGAGGTCAGCTGCTCAGCTGCAAACACTCTCCTCCGTCTTCCTCTCCACACAGCCCCTGGTCTGGAGCATGCTGGGGCAGCGTTTGAAGCCTGGACAGTCCTCAAACTCCTCACTAGCCCCTGAGATCTCCCCCTGCCTATCCAGGCCTCCCCTCACCTTGAGGCAGTGTCTGGAAGTAGACCTTGCCCCCATAGGGGCCATGGCCCACTGCAGTCCGCGCCCGCACCTGGAAACCATAGATGTGGCCAGGGCTCAGCTGCGTCACAGTGGCAGTGTTGGTCTCGCTGGTCAGGGTGAAGGAGTGGGATTCGTCTTCTGCCTGGGGGTGACAGCCACTCACTCCTTGCCCAGCCCCCACTGCCCCTCATGCCCCAAGGCCTCTACCCACCCTCGCCATTGGACGGGACTCAGACTCAGTCCCCGTGGGGCCTCTTTGCCCCACTGTGGGGGGTGCAGGCTCCCACCAGCTCTGCCGCAGTGCCCCAGTCCTCCTGCCCACCTGGTCATAGTAGCGGAGCTGATAGTCCAGGATGTTTCCATTGGTCTGTTCAGGCTGCGGCCAAGACACCGTGATGCTGTTGGATGCTCGGCTCACCTGGTGCACCACAGGGACTGCAGAGGGGACTGAGGTGTGGGGAGAGGGGGTGTGAGGGGGGTAAGAGTTCCTGGGAGCAGGAGCATCCCCGGTTGGGGGCGGGCTGGAGAGCAGGAGTGGGGAAGGGGCTTCTCAAGTGCTGAGGCAAGGCTCCTTGAGGCAGGGAGATGGGCTCACCTTCGTAGCTGGTGCTGACATTGATGGCTGCAGCCTGGGGAGGGTCGGGGCTGAGCTCAGACACCCCGTTGACAGCCTGCACCTCCAAGATGTAGGGTATGTGTGCTCGGAGCCCCCCCACTAACACTCGGCTCTCAGTCAGGCCCCTCTGGCGGGGGTCGAAGTGCACCTCATCCCTGCAGCGGCGACAAGCACTCCCGCTGCTGGGCTCCTGGTGGCCTCCACACTCCTTGCACACAACGTTGAAGAGCAGGTCCCCTCGCCCCCCCAGCTCCTGAGGCAGCCGCCAGTGCAGCATGAGCGCCGAGCCTTGCACCTCGAACCAAAGCTCCTGGGGAGCCGATGGAGGGCCTGGGGGGCCGGAGGGTGTGGAAGAAAAAGGGCCAAGAAGGTGGGAGTTGTAGGAAGGAGGCAGGAAGGGTGCAGAGGGGAGATGACAGCAGAGGAG